AAAAATCATAACTTTTTGAAAATAAACCTTTTTTGAAAATTTTAAAATCCTATCCGATGCAGAAAATTCTTATCTATCAAGGAAAAATACATTCGTCTCAAACCACCGGCAAAAATCCCGAAAAATTTTCAAAAAACCATAAAATTTAGGTTTTTTTCGAAAATTGACCCCTACATGGTCATTTTGCAATTTTTTCGAAATTTTTTTACCTCAAAAAATTTCTAATTTTTAGTTCTATTTTATAAAGTAATTTCCAAGCAAAAATTTCAATCCCTTAAATAGATATGATTTTTTAAAAATTTACGAATATTTTTCAGAAGAGTACCCCTTTGGAAAAATTCGGGGGGTAAAAAATTTTAAATTTTGACACAAAAAACGTGTTTTATAGTGTATTCATACCCGTTGAGTACGAATCCGTTGTCGGAAAAATCCTAAAAATTTTTTAACAAAGTTAGAGTCTAAAAACCATTTCAATCTCAGACTCAAATCGGGAATACCTTATTAAAAACTTCGAAATTCGAAATTATTAGTAAACCCATTGATCTCCCCTCATTATCCCCTCTTAAAAGAGTACTCATTCACCCATATCCACTTAAATCTCCAATCCCGAAAATCACGGATTTCGAAGTTCGAACTCCGAACTTCGACTTTCGACTTAATATTTTATCCCATTCGACTCCCCTGATCATCCCCTCTTGAATGACTACCCACTCACCCATACTTCCCAATACCGAAAATCCCGGATTTCGAAGTTCGAACTCTGAACTTCGACTTTTGGCTTGATCCTTTATCCCACTAAGCTCCACTAATTATCCCCTCTTGAAAGAGTACTCATTCGACCATACTTCTCTCTCCCGGAAATCCAGGATTTCGAAGTTCGACTTCGAACTTCGACTTTCGTACTTATCCTTTATCTCATTTAGCTCCCCTCATCATCCCCTCTTGAATGAGTACCCATTCGACCACATTTACCAATCCTGAAAATTCCGGATTTTGAAGTTCGAACTCCGAACTTCGACTTGCGGCTTTATCATTTATCCCATTATACTCCCCTTACTCCCAGCTCTTGAATGACTACCCACTTGCCCATATCAACAACCTCCGAAAATACCGGATTTTGAAGTTCGAACTCCGAACTTCGACTTTCTCCTTTATCCCCCGAACTCCCCTGATCATCCCCTATTGAATGATTACCCACTCACCCATATCCACAAATCTCGAAAATACCGGATTTCGAAGTTCGAACTCCGAACTTCGACTTTTGAATTTCTCATTTATCCCCCCAAAACTCCCCTGATCATCCCCTCTTGAACGAATACCCACTCACCCATATCCGTAAATCCCGAAAAACCCGGATTTCGAAGTTCGAACTTCGACTTGAGGCTTATCATTTATCCCATACAACTCCCCTCATTATCCGCTTTCGAATGACTACTCATTCGACCATATTCAAAGATCCCTAAAAATCCCAAATCTCGGATCCCTAATTTCGACCTTGCTTCGAATTTCCCCCATTTGCTTTAACTTCCCCCACTTAAACTTGAAACTTGCTTCTGCTTCAAGTTTACCCTTGCTTCTGCTTCCAATTTCTCCTCTATCAATCAAAATTTCTCTCTCACCTATGAGATTTGCCCCCAGAATTTCCTCACTTTAGAGAAATCCGACAATTATCGGTAAGACAGTTTTCTTACCAGAATTTTGTGTCAAGCATAAGTACCCCTAAAGTTCGAATTTCAAATTTGAAATTTTTCCTACCTATATCTACATATCCCAACTTAAAATCCTACCAGCAGAAGTTTTTCGGTAACTTTATCCGTTTCCGAGTTATTTCCAAAAAAGTCAAATTTTAAATCCCGACACACCCGACAATTCACAGGAAATGTCTGAATTTTGTGTCAAGCATAAGTACCCTTCAAATTCGAATTTCGACTTTGAGTTTTTTGCATTCGACATCGTCTATTGATGCTTCAGTGCCCTCCCAGCAGAAATTTTCCGCTAACCCCACCCATTCCGGAGATAGCCCCGGCACCTATATTATTTAGGTGCCAAGGGGGTACCAAAATCTTCCGTCCGTATTTTTCCCAGATGCGGCATAAAATTTGACCCCGGACATGTAAAACTTTCAGCCCATTATCTCAACTATGTAAAGAGCTTTAATTTTTCCGACACTTTCTGCCAAAACTTTTATATAATGTATTAAATAAATACCTCCAATTAATTCTAATTGGCCTAAAAATACTTTTGATTATTAAAATTCTAAAATTTAAAATAAATAAAATTACCCTTTTCAACAATTAATTTTCTCATATTTTCAATTTCCTCCGAATATTTATCTTCTAACCACATAGTTAAAAACCCAGTTTCTGCATAAGAAAACCGACGAGAGGGATTTTTATTTAAAGCTGCTACTACAGTACTTAATATATATTGAACACCGACATTAAATATTGAAGGATTTGCTTTTAAATTGTTTTATTTTTAAATTTTTTTTAAAAATACCTCCAGTATAATAATCATCAACAGTTTTTAACCAACCCATATCATCATGTCTAGTATATATTTTTAAATCTTATCCTTAATTAATTCCTTACGAATGACAAATTAAATGTACATTAATTACAGATGAATTAGTTGACCATTTAGGGCAATTCTTAATTAATTTAAATGAAAAAATAATTAAAAACTAATTTGAAACTAGTATTCAATGAAAAAAACTAGTATTAAAAATATTTAAAAAATAAAAAATTAATAGTAAAATTATTAAAAAAATTTTACTAAAGTAGTAAAAATTTTTAAGAAAATCTGACGAATGAAAAAGTTAACATCCTAAATCACCAATACATTTATGTATATGTTTAATAAAATAAAAATTAAAAAATAAGATTTTTTAGGAAATTAGAAGGATCCAAAGATACATACATACCCCCACAACTAATTTAAAATTATTTAAATTAAACTAACATTCCAAGAACATTTTGATTCAATTAAGTTAACATTTAAAAATATTAATAAAAAGAGGGCAAAGCCCTTAATAATTAATAACATTCAAAATAATTTTAAAAAATCAGACCCTTAAAATTAATAAAATAATTAAATCTTTTAATTATAAATGAAACAAATAAAAAAAATATATAAACAAATTTTTCAAATTATTTTTTAAAAATAAATGTAAAATAAAAATATTTACATTAAATTAAAAAAGCGATGAGAGAGACAGTCAGAAGCAAAAGTTTGGAGAGGCCATTTAATTAAAATAAATACGATATTAGATTTAAAATTCCAATTTTAATTTTACCAAAAATTGAAGAAAGAAGAAGAGTAACGAGGGGTTCTGAATTTAAAATTCATTAACCAATAATTTTAGAAAAATAAAAAGAGAGAAAGAATTTGGCAAAAGCAAAATTATATATTTATTGCTGAACAAATAAGTATATTTAAAATTCGAGAATAATTTTAAATTTTTATTTTTTTTAGATTTTTATTTTGGCATCTAAGCAGGTGTAAAGTAAGTATCTTCTAAATTTATTATAATGATAAATATATTCAATAATTGATTAACTTTATTTAAAATAAAATATAAAAATAAAAATTAAGAAAAAATATTTTTGCAAGTAAATAATTATTAGTTAAAAAATAATGTATTTTGGTTAGATTATTTGCTTACAAATAAAAATATTGGAGGTTGGCAAAAAATTTTAAATCAGATTAAACCACAAAATTAAAATTAGAAGGATAAATTGCCATAGAGATCAACTCCATTAAATAAACTCTGTAAACCGAATTTTATGCAGTAACAAATACAAAATATCCACAAAAATATGAACTTTACAGGAAAGGAATGCCAGATACAGTTCCAATATTTAATTTCATAATAAATTTAAAAAAAGCAGATAAATATTACAGATAAATGTTACTTGATTAGATATCACCACCGGACTGGAAGGAATAAAAAGTTAATAATGAACAAATATAGAGATATAGCAATTTAATACAAAACTTAAACTTAATTATTCATGTGTTTTCTAGTTTATACTTAAACTAAGCCCATCTCTATTTTCAGAATAAATTTAAAAAATTAGAAAAAAGAAAAGATATTTTTAAATAATTTCCAATTTTATGTAGTAAGCATAAACGTTCTAATTTCCATAGGTTTTAACTTGACATTCTCGGCATCAACAACTTCATTAAATACTATATTTCCAGCAAGCATTAATTCTTTTATTTTTTGAAATCGAAGATTTTTAAAAATTGTCTTTAAAAATTATTTTTTCTTTAAAATATTTCAAAATTTACCTGTAAATTTAAATAAATTGGATTACTTAAATTAGCATCTTCTCCTGTTTGGAATATATGTTCTAAACGAATTAATATTTGTTTATTCCCAATATGTTTAAATGTAAGTAAATTAATATTTGGAGGTAAATCAAAATTGAGAGCTGAAAACTGAAATTTAAAAACAAAAATATTTTTAAATAAATATTTTAGTAAAAACATTAGTTAAATATTTATTATTGTAATCATTAAATTCTCCAGAAAATTTAGAAAAAATGAGTGTTGGTTCGTGGAAGAGTTGAAGGCCTAATATTCTATTTAAAGAAGGTTCTTCTGTTTTAGGTCCAAAATGTAGCCAATGTTTGGCACGAATAATTAAACCATTTCCATCTTCGCCCTAAAAAATGGGGTTATTAATTTATTTTTTAATGTAGAGTAGCACCCCGAGCCTTCGTGGCCGGATCGTCGGGGATCGGGGTTTGTCGGGGTAGTCTTCGAGGTTCGGGTCGTCGGGAGTCGGGGTTTCGGGTACTACCCTATTTTAATGTATATATTCTCCCTAGTACTACTAGTTAATGACCTCTCAAAAGAAGACTAGACTAGAGAAAGGTTATTAATATAGAGAATTTACTATATATTTACTAAATATATTTCTCTGATCTGTACACTGGATCTAGAAAAATCAAAGTCTCAATCCAGATCCAGCTCGATCTCTAATATTTACTTACCGGTTCATTCAAAACTTCCTCAACACCCAACCTATCATCCATAACACAACGACGATGTACCTTTAATTAGGAATTCTTTTTAATTATTATTCCAAAAAACCATAATTTCAATCTGTCCATCATTTAAACTAGTCCCTCCTTGTGAACGATCAGTTAATATACTCATTTGATTTAAATTGTCAGATAAACCTATTCGGCTAGTAATTGGGTAATAATTGGCACTTGATGGATATTTTATATTTTCTCCCAAATTAAAATATTTATTGAAATTTCTTCTTTAAAAAAAGAAAAAAATTAGGTAATTAAAATATTCAGTCACTTTCTTTGAATATTTCTACGTCCATTAGAATCTGTCCAAAAAATACCGCTTGAATTAATTTCTGGCATTGAATATCTTGTAATTATTTCTTTTGATTTAAATTCTCTTTAAATTAAAATATTTTTTGAATTAAAAAAAAGAAAAAATGTTAACTCTATTGGAATTGGTCCAACAAGAAATTCAAATTCAATATATTTTTTATCTTCGAATAACCGAATTGTTTGACTAACCCAAGGACTAACAATTTGTCTTGCTTCTTGTACAAAATCGTTCTAAAATTGTTAATTATTTATACATTTTTAAGTGGTAATATTAAAGAAAGGATGACTTTTTTGAAGTTATAAATGGGATACTGACGAGATTTTAAGGGATGGGGTGTTGAATGACATACGGGATCCAAATTAAATATTACCCCGCTTAATCTCGCTGCATCCAGGCCCGTACAACTTATTTGAAAAATCCCGTTACGTGTCCAAAATTGCGTGTGTTAGTAAGGTACTAATTATAAGGTAGTAATATACAAATTCCCCATAAAAATAATTTCTAAAAAATTTTCAGAAAAAAGTCAATTTTACTTTAACAAAAAAATATTTTTAAATTTACTCTAATAAATTCAGTTTTTGTAGTTTCGTTAAATGGTGTTGGTTCTAAATCCGAATTTGCCCTAAAAACTTTCAATATAAAAATATTTTCTAATTTAAAATCACCCAAAAATATAAGCTCCAGATGATAACCCTTCATAATAAAAAAATTCTTGTGTAAATTTAAAATTAGCATTTTCTCTAGTTAAATCTTCAAAGGATTCTATTAGGCCATTTTCATTAAAATTAAGACGGATGTACTTTAAAAAATATTTTTTTAATTATTAAAGCTCTGATAAAAAGAGGACAAGCCCAATGCCAGTCACCAAAGTCTTGAACCTTAACAGTAATTCACCGGAAATTATATCCTTGGATCGAAAATATCGGGACATAAACTCAGACAAATGTTTAAAATAAGGCCGCAAAAACAGGAGGAGCCAGGGCCTAAACAATAAAACTGCTGGTTAAATGACGATGCCGTTAAGCGATCTGGTCATTTCCATCCTCTTATAATCATAACCAGGATTTCATGTCTCGTTAATTTATATATCTACATTACTTTATTTTCAATTAATCCGTTTGTTTTTGTTGGTTGAATTGGTGAAATAGAAGGAGAATTTGGTAATTTTGTAGTAAATAATTGTTTATTTGTTGTAGATTTTTGTAAAATTTGAGGCAACTCGGGAATACTTTTTGTAGTATTTAGTTGATTTTGTGTTTGATTTGAAGGTAATAAAGGACTTTTAAAAAATTTATTTTTATTTTTTTAAATTTATTTTTCTTTACTCGTTTATAATAACAAAAAAAGTAGTAAATCCAACAGGCCCAACATTTGCTTTAAATATTAATTCATATTTGGATTGATTTATTTTTTGAGATTGTGGTGATATAAATAAAGGAATTAACTTGAAAAATTAAAGAAAAATTTTTTCAAAATTAAAAAATACTCTAAAATCAATTTGTTGTCCATTATTTGATAAAATTTGAATATTTTGATTATTTACTGGAATACGGATATAGCCAGAAAATTGTTTTGAATTTCCATTTAAAATTGTTACTGTAAAGCTGTCTGTTCCCCTAAAATTGGGTTTTTGAATAGAAATTAAAAATATGGCCTTTCAATTAAAAAAAATATGGCCTTCCTAAAAATATGGCCTTCCTCATTATAGTGAAAGAGGATTGGTTTTTTTCAACTACCTATATTGTGAATATTTTTATGAGAATTAAACAAAATTTAATAAATTATTCGAAAAAATAATTTTGAATTATTATTTATTCTTCAGTTAAAAACACATATATGTAGTAATCAAATATTATTTAAACATTTATTTCCATTCCATGGATGGGCTAGGTTGAGAATAAAGTTGGGGTTTGGTTGGGGTTTACAAAATTTTCTTTGGATCGGTGATGGGGTCCCTGCTCAATACTTACATGCTTTCTGGGCAATAACTTTCATTTAATCGTCTACATAATTTTTGTGTTGGAAAAACATTTAAAGTTTTATTTTTATTAATTTTATTTTCTTCTTTTTTCGTTAAAAAAGCCAAAGTATTAGTTAATATTATCTTTAAATCAAAAAAATTTTTTTATTTTTTAAAATTTATTTTTTACTTCAGCAGCATCCCAACCCTGTAAAAGACGTTTCATATAATTTTTAGTTACTAATTCTTTTGATGTCCCTCTGAAAAAAATTTTTTTTAATTTTTTTAATTTAAAATTATTAACGTTATAGCATCATGATGTGTTGTTAAAGCTATAGAACGTTCAAATAATTCCATTTTTAAATTATCAGAATTTAATTTAGTTTTAGCTTTCATTAGTGTATATAATGCTCTCGTTACCTTAAAAATGAAATGTCTAAAATATTTAAAAAAGTTTTCTTAAAGATTAATTACCGTATATACTTTATTAATTACCCTAGGTAATTATTGTTTTGACCTCTCTCTGGAGAGGGTAATTGATAGAGGTGGGGTAATTAAGAGGGGTTATTTTAGGAAGGCCGTTTTTTAATATTCCTCCGTTTCTTCCGTCCGCCTTTTAAAATTCAAAATTCTCCAGCCCTGGCATGTATAAAAAAATAATTTAAAAATTACTTGAAGTAAAGAAGATGACTTTCTAGTTAATCCTTTTAATGACGGTTTACTAGTAAAATAACCAGTCCAATACCTATCAAGTTGATCTGCATAAGGAAAGAAATCTCCATCTCTTTTTGGAAAGTTTGGTTTTGTTGTTTGTTCTAAAGCTTTTATGTAACAAGTTGGGGTTGAATAAAATATATTTACATTTGTTATGTTTTTCTTTTAAAATAAGTAAAAATTATTAGAAAAAAATATTTCGTTAAATATTGTCTTTTTTAAACAAGTATAATTTTAATATTTTTAGGCAAAGATGGGAGAAGGGAGGAGAATGATCAGATTTCCACATTCATACTTGCCCAGCATCGACCTATCAGGTCCAACAACTATCCAAACTCAACACATGGTTATCAGCCCCTATTTACCAAAGTTTTACCTTTGTCCGTTCATATAAATAAAAAATTTCAAAAATTTTTCCGCAAGCTAAAATAATTTTTAAATCAAATATTTACTTTTTTATTCCCAGCCAAAATTAATTTGTCTAGATTATTAAACCAAAGTTCAGCATTTGAATATGTAAAATCTCCACCCATTGCAATTAAAACATGATTATGTCTTTGAACTTTAGCCTGTTCATTAACAATATTTAAAAAATCATTTAATTTCTGGTCAATATTGTATCCTTCCAATTCTGGATTGTCTATTATAAAATCTGGATAAGGACAAGTTGGGTCAAAACAAAATCCTTTAGGTTGTGTATATGTTCCTCTGGAGAAGGTACTTGTAAATAAAGACCTTGTAGCATCTCCTTTAATTTAAATGTTTATTTATATATTTTATTAATTTTTGAGATAATCTAGATATTTAATTGACTGCACACCTTATTTAAAAAATTGACTGCATAACTTTATTCGAATTAAAGATAATGAGATCTAATAAAGCCTAAATGATAGTGAACTAATTAAGAAGCAGATATACATAATCAGGAATTTAAGAAGTGCCATTGGATACGGGGTTGAAAATGCGTGCAAAAATTTTTGACAATAATTCGCGCCTCCTCATTCATTAAATCAGAAGGAATATGAAGGAGAATTGTTTGGGTATAAAATGAGTAGAAAATATTAAAAAATGTATGAGGGGGAAAAATTATGATGAAATGAAGTCTGTGGTTACTTTCTGATCACCCAGTATAAATTATTATTAAAAAATGATTGTCTGTTTTTTAACAATAATTTAGAAAGACATTACCATTTTCATCTGTCTGCCATAACATTTCCAAACTTTTATTTTTTATTCTGTTTTCTAATTCCAAATAATGCATTCGAGAAAAGAAAAGGGCTTCATAACCAATCTTTTTTTAAATTAATTAATTTAAATTAAATATTTATATTTACATTAATTAACATATTTCCATGTTCACTACTATGCCCAAAAGGATCTATTTGCCAGGCAACTTTTGGGACTCCACAATTTCCTTAAAATTTATATATTTTTTAAAGTGTTTAAATTAACCATATTTATTCGCTAATTTTCTCAATCCCAAACTATATTGATCAATTAATTCATAATAGTGAGTACATGCCTCGTCTGGCTGTGTCCAACCACCTTTTTTTAATTAAAAATTAATTTTTTTTAAATAATTGTAAAATAAAGTTCCCCACACTTACAAAATAAAGCTACAATGGATTTCTAAAATTTTTGTTAACAGTAATAAATAAAGTTGAGAAACTAAAAAAGATCATATTTTTCTATTAATAGTTTCCTATAATATAGATTTGACAAATAAAATACACGGGACTTTATTTTAGTGATTATATTTTATTTAAAATACCTCCAATTAATTCTAATTGGCCTGAAAATATTTTTGATTATTAAAATTTTAAAATAATTATAATATAATTTTTAAATTAATTAATAAAAAATCGTAAAGTATTTATGCCAAAATAAACACATTAATGTCAACAATATTTTTAATTTTTCTAAAAAATCCTCACAATAACTGTGACTGATTTTGACACTTTCATTGTGTAAAAACAATGGAAATAAAGTCAAAATTAGTCACAATTATTTAAAAAAAAAATTTTGAATTGTCCCAATTTAATTAAGCTTGGATATATTTTGACGACACTAAATTTGTAATAAATTAAAATCTAAAAATAATTTTAGTCGAGAAGCTTATAAATAACTAAAATTGTCTCTAAAAGTTTAAAAGAATTAATTAAAGTACCCTTTTCAACAATTAATTTTCTCATATTTTCAATTTCGTCAGAATATTTATCTTCTAACCACATTGTTAAAAACCCAGTTTCCGCATAAGAAAACCGACGAGAGGGGCTTTTATTTAAAGCTGCTACTACAGTACTTAATATATATTGAACACCGACATTAAATATTGAAGGATTGGCTTTTAAATTATTTTATTTTTTAATTTAAACAAAATTAATCTTAAAATAAAGATAGGCAAAATCACATTTCCAGGATCCCGTATCGATTAAGATTGAAAAGTTCGAACGGGAGGGATCCTCGGGATTAATCCCGTAAACCCCGGTAGTCCCGTTCGTCGCTAAAACCACGAGATTCCGAGACGGGATCCCGTAAAATCACTCCCGGATCCCTCCCGTGCCGATCTCTAGTTTAAAATAAATAATTTAGTAGTTTTTTACTTTAATTTAATTTTAAATTTAAATAATCTCTTTTTTCTAAAAATACCTCCAGTATAATAATCATCAACAGTTTTTAACCACCCCATATCATCATGTCTATTTTATAAATATATATTTTTAAATTTAAATTTAATTTTATTCCTTACGAATGACAAATTAAATGTACATTAATTACAGATGAATTAGTTGACCATTTAGGGCAATTCTTAATTAATTAAAATAAAAATTCTGTTACAGTAATTTTTTAAATTCAACTAAATACGACTATTGTATGTGGCTTTTAAGTGGAGATTAGCTTCGGTCAAAATTTTAAGAAAAAAATCGGAAAATAAAATTTGTTTAGTGAGAGTAGAGGATACGAGGAGCTACATAGGACTCATACGAGAACACCCCCCACCCCCCCCCTCTTCGACTCCTAATTTTAAATTATTAAGTTAATTTTTTAATTATTAAACTAACATCCCAGGAGCATTTTGATTCAATTAAGTTAGCATTTAAAAATATTAATAATAAAAGGGCAAAGCCTTTACTAATTAATAACATTCAAAATAATTTTTTAAAATTAGACAAAACTTAAAATTAATAGAATAATTAAAATAAATTTTTTAATTATGAAAGAAAAGATACGGAAGCAATAAATAGAAAATTAATTAATTAATTATAATGTATATTTTTTCAAAATTATTTTTAAAAAAATAAAGATTCACGAGAATATTTTAAAATATACTGTATGAGAATAAAATAAAAATATTTGTAAATAAGGAAGTAAAGACTATAAAATACTTGTATAAATCCAACAAAAATAAATTTGTTGGTTTACTTTAAGTGAAAATTTATTTTAATATTTACTTTATGTTAACTTTCCACGTCCTTAAAAATAAATAACTTTAGAAATTGCTAATTTTATTTTGCCTAAAAATTGAAGAAATGAGAGGAGTGAGGAAATAATTTTGACTTTAAAATTCGTTTAACCAATAATTTTGATTAAAATAAAAAGAGAAGGAAGGAATTCTAGACAAGCAAAATTTATATTGCTGTACAAATATTTATGTTTAAATTTTACGAGAATTCAAAATTTTTTTAGTTAAATAATTTTAGATTTACAGAGGGAGAAAAATTTTTTAAACCACAGGATTAGGTAGATGGTATGTTGGTAGCTTCGAATTAATTATTTGAATAGCTAATTTTATTATTTAAAAAGAGACTTCACGTCCGAGAATCGAAACTTTATATTTAAAATAAATTAAAAATTAAGAAAAAAATATTTTTGAAATAAAATAATAAATTTTTTAAATTATTTAGTTCATAAATAATGTATGTATATTTTGGTTATATTTATTTCCGAATAAAATATTTTAAAACGTTTTCAATGAAACTTTAACTAAAAAATTAAAAAGCTCGGAAAATAAACTATAAATAAATAAAATAAACTTTCTAACAAATATATGTACATAAGTTGGTAGCAGAGGTCGGTCGGAATTCCGAAAGTTTACAATAATTTTCGGCACTTTCTTCATTTCCTACCGGCCCCTGCCCGACAGAATCATGAATGTGCAAAAAATCCAAGAGACGAGAGGAAAGAGGCGAGAACAGAAGCTTTAAAAACATCGGAAGATGGAAGGTAGAAGTGCATGATTATCAACTTGATTATACACTTTAGAAGAGATAATAAATATAATTAGCTTCTAATTATATTTATAATTACCGAAAATCTTCTAATAGAAACACACATCTAATTGAAGCACACCTCTAATATAAGCACACCCTATGAGAGGATCGAAAAATGCAAGCACTGTGCTTCTATTAGAAGATTTACGGTATATATTATATTTATATTTGTAACCAAACATTCATTTTAAGAAATGAATTAATTTTTATTTAAATTTTTTACTATATTCATCAAAATACTTAAATTATAACACAGCAAACAATCACAGCCAACATCATTAACACAACCAACATCATTTTCTCTCAAAGCTTTTCCTTTAGTTTTTCCCTTTTATTATAGTTTTTTTCCATTTAACAAAACTTTGACAATTTTTTCAATTTTATATTTTTAATTCTCGAATTCAAAAATTTATTTAATCAAAACTTTCAATTCCACCCAAAAATTGATTCTTTTTTAAATAAAAATTATCGATATTTTTCTTTATTTTCATTTTCTCGATTAGTCATATGTACAAAAATGGCCATGAAAAACCTGTTTATTGTTTGATTTCATGAGAGGTGTTGTCTTTTCTTTTAAAAATAAAATTTTTTTAAATTTAATTATTTCATTTGACAATTAATTTTATTTAAAAGTCTCCTTAGTTTAAAAATTTTTTATAAAAAAATTCCTTTTATCTTAATTATTATTAATGCAAATAATCTAAAAAAAGATTTAAGGAATTAAATATCTCCTTAGTTTATTTTTAATAAATCTAAATATAGAAAAATAAATATATTTTTTTATTTTTTATTAACTTTTTTTAAAGCCAACTCATAAATTCTTTTTGAATTTAAAATTTTTAATCTTTAATTCTCTAAACTTCAATGTACACAGAACAGCCTTACTCGCAGGTTAATAATTTTTGAAATATTTTTATTGCATTTAATTTTAAAGAATTATCGCCCCTACTATCCAAATGCACCACAGCCAGTTGTGTAAGTAAAAATAAAAATTTAAATAAAAAATTTATTTAATTTTTCTTGAAGAAAAAAAATATTTTTCTTAAAAATAAATTAAGTTATGAACAGCGACGTTATGTAGAGGATAGAGGTAATTGTGTTCCGTGTTGTTGTTGCTTCCCTTTCTGTATACCGATTCCGTTCTGTTTTCCATGCGGCGATTGTTAAAGGAAAATTATTTTTTTTGTAAATTTTAAATAAAATAAACAATTTTTATAAACACTTTTAATTTGCAAATTAAAATTTTAAAAATTCGAATTTATATTTCAATAGATATGAAATCTATCTAAGGAAGAATAATTTTTTGAGTTATTTTACAAAATATGTCAAAACATTTTTTAAAATTTATTTGAAAAAAATATTTCAAAATCTATACATTTTACTAACATAAACAATTTAATTTTAAAGGTGAGGGAGTTTAATTTATTTTTTATTTACATATTCTGACAACCATTAACATTATTGACTTGATTAGAATTTTCCCTAAAATATTTCTAAGCTACCAATACCCCAAACTCTAGGTAAGACTACTAAAAAAAATTAAAAAAGCCGTTATTCTTCAAATAATTTAGAAATTTTAGAATACTTAAATATTTACAAAATTCATCTACCCCGTATTTTTTTGATTATTCCTCTTCCTTTTCTTCTTGTTTTTCCTCTTGATCAGAATAAGAAAAGAAAGTCTTCAAATTAACTAATTTCTCCATCAAATCATTCTTTATTTTCTCTGATGATTCACCTTTATGTTTAATACTTGCCACTACTAAATGTTGTATTTCATTTAATAAATTAACCAAATCAGGAGGAATAGCAGATGTTCCCGTTGAAAGAAAATGAATTAATGGGGAGACAAATTTACCTTAAAAAATATTTTTTTAATTATAAATTAATTAAAAACCGGATGCATGAATAGCAATTCTATAATATAATTGAAAACATAAAATAACAGTTAAAAGAAGAGTTGTTGGGGGATCTGTACATTCCAAAATTTGTTTATGCAATTCTTTACCAAATAAATCTAATTTTTGGGTTCTTTCTTTTCTATCTGGCTGTCTTAACTTTAAGCCATTCATTGCTGTTAAACGTTGAAATGCTTCATGAAAATGTTCTAAAGTATCAAGGGAGGTAAAAAGATGTCGAGAACATTTTTGCATTTCTACAGATTCTAATGAATCTATTAAATGATCACGTTGTTTATTATTTAAAATTGTTGGTTGTGGAGGAGATTGTTGGGATAAATTAAAGTCTGAGATAGTATAGAGAAGAGAATGTGATAATTCTGTACAGAGAGAGCGAAGCAAATAAATTCGTAAATCGTTGGCTAATTGATCTGAAAATTTAAAATAGGTATTTTATATTATTCAATTTAGTGCTCTCTAATAAAATATGAGAAAAATTAATATTTTTTAGTTAAATTCTCTAGTTTAGCACATAATTTTATTCAACATCTTTAACATGTTTTTGACCAAATTTAAAAGTTATACAATTACTAAAAAACAAAAATTCCGAAAAGGTATTTTTATGTTTTTAGCTCCAAACGTTAATAAAAAAACAACAATAAAATTATATTTCAAAATTTCTAAGACTCATAGAGATAGTTTGTAGCCCACGTGCAAAATCATAGTTAGGAAACCCGAAAAAAGTACAAATTGCTTTAAAAATATATTTAAGAGAGCCCTGATTTAAAAATTTTTTACCCTCTTCAAAATAATCAGCTCCTTTTTCAAAAAGGCAAATAGCTGTATATTCATCCGAAATTTTATTTAAACGTTGTTCAAATGCTTGACGTTGTGCTTGTTGTTCTTCAGCTGTTGTTTGATGTAATTGTTGTTCCCATATTTCAGTAACAAAACGTCTATATAAATTATTAACTTCAGCAATAAAATCATCAGCTATTTCTTCACGAAGAGTATCAGGAATTTGAAAATCGCTCGAAGAATGACAACGTTCTAATTCGGTAAATAATTCATCAGAAGTAAATGGTGAAGCACAAGAAAGTAAATCTTTATTAGAAATGTTGCTTTCCGTTGCCGTTTTTTGTTTGCTAGAACGGCCTATAAATTATTTAAAGTAAATCTGAAGAGAATCTTGGGTAATTATTATGTGTTTGCATGACCCTTGTTTATATGTATTCTCACTTTCTTTAGCTAAATTTATTTGAGGTAAAGAATTGGTGATATTTAAAAAGTACGTCTTATGGAAAATAAGGTGGAAAAGAGAACAATGGACACACAAAAACATAAGAATTTTAACAGAAATCTAATTTTTACTCGAAGTCTGATGAGAAGAACCTCCACCTGAACGATTCTTTTTATTAGCCCCTTTCCCTCCTTTTGATGGCTTTTCTATTTCCCAATCATCATCCTTTTGTTGTTTTTTCTCTTCCTTATTTAATTGTTTTTGGATTGATATTGCAGCATTTAATTGTGCTTTACGTAATTCTGGTGCATCTTTAATTGCTCTTTCATGAATAAATTCTTCGACTGATTTTAACCAATTTGAAAGTAATTTTGAATGATCGAAAATAACACGACGATCATTTGTTGTTCTAAACATAATTTAAATCTAAAATTTATTTTTTACCTCAAATATCCTTCATTCCAGCCTTTCTGCAAAATTTCAACAATTTTTAAATAATCCGCATCATTAAGAACAGAAATAAGTTTTATAGGAAGAATATCATCAATTAAACAAAAATGAATAGAATGAAGAAGATTTTTTGCAAGTAAGTCAAATTCCTTCCATAAAAGTGATTCAGAAAGTACAACAGAAGGCCAAAAGAGCAAGTCATTAAATTCAGTAGATGGAAGTAGTTCACGGAAAAATGATATTGGTTCACCAGATATACTCAAACGTTTCATAATAGAACATTCTAAAAAAGAATATGATTTAAACAATAACATAGAAAAATGAAATTACTATATAACCACATCGTTTTACATAGATGTCAAGGGCGTATCCAGGGGGGGCTGGGGGGGGGGGGGGCTAGAGCCCCCCCCCCCCCGAAATGGGGGAAAGGAGGAAAAAATTAGGAGAAGGATGGTCGAAAAAGTAAAATTTTTTCGCCTACAACCCTCAAATTTCAAAAAATTTTCGCCTGCGGCGCAAAAAATGGAAGAAATCTGGCTTCTTGAGCTCCAAAATCCTCAAAATTTTCGCCTGCGGCGCTAAAAAGGAAGAAATCTGGCTTCTTGAGCTCAAAATTCCAAAAAATTTTCGCCTGCGGCGCTAAAAAGTGAACTTTTTTGGCCTACGGCCCTCCAAATTCAAAAAATTTTCGCCTGCGGCGCTAAAAAAGGAAGAAATCTGGCTTCTTGGGCTCAAAATTCCAAAAAATTTTCGCCTGCGGCGCTGAAAAAGTAATTTTTTGGCCTACGGCCTTCGAATTTTAAAAAATTTAAGCCTGCGGCGCAAAAAACGGAATTCTTTTGGCCTACGGCCATCTAAAATTAAAAAAATTTTCGCCTGCGGCGCTGAAAATATAAAAAGTTATGTACAAAAAAATTTGCCGTAGGAACGCCAAAGTAAACGCCAAAAATTTTTGCGCCCACCCAGTGTTAGCCCCCCCCCCCCCGAAACCGACCCCCTGGATACGCCCTTGATAGATGTCACTAAAAATTTTTCTGCGCCGAAGTTCTGATGCCGAAAGCGTCAAATTCCCCCCTTCCCCTGGCTACGGGCCTGTTTGGAACTTATTAATCCTACCTAAAATTAAAAGAAAATATTCAACTTACCAATAAAATGTTCTTCAGACAAACGCTGTAAAATAAACTGTTTAGCCATTCTTTCATGAATAAAAGGCACATATAACGATTTAATTGAATTTTTTGTTCCTAAAAGTTTTCCAGGTAATTTCCCTTTAAATTAATATTTTTACTTAAATTTTATTTTAAAGAACCTTGATCATTTAATTCGTTCAATAAAAGAAAGAAAAAAGACTCGCTAACTGCCAAATATGAATAAATTTCTGTTAGAGGACAAGGTTTAGTAAGTCCAATAAGTATAGCACGGAATTTGCCTTTCAATGTATTAATATAACGATTTGTGCACAGATAATCTTCAAAACGAATTGCAGATATTCTCCCAGTGCCCAATTCCGTCAAAATATGTTGATTAAGAAGTTCAGTTGGAAGCTATAAAAAGAAATTTATTTAAATAAAATTTAATTATAAACCTCCCATTGTCGAGTAAGTTGAAGCATAGAAATAGTTCCAAGTTCTTCAAGCTGTTCATTCAATTTTGCACATAAACCATTAATAAAATCACTAAATAAGGAATACAAAGGATAACATCGATAAAGGTTTATAAAACAAGGCAAACACCCAACCCAAAAATTAGAAGGAAAAATCAAACCGATGAATAAGTTCTCCTGCACAAATAACAAAATCATTTGAAGTAGATATATTTACATCATCTTCTTCATGGTCTATTTGTCTAACCAAATGGTTAACAGCTCCAGAAATATGATCAAGATTTACATTCAATTGTGAGGCCAAATCGGTAAGAGAAATTCTTCCCCCCGCTGCAAGACATTCATTTGCACATTCTGTTTGTAAATGTTTTCGAGTAACATACTCCTAGAAAATATTTAATTAATTTAGAAATCGATATACCTTTCCATCAGAGCTAATAACCAAATCAATAGATCCCATCGAAATAAGCATGCTGATAACTTCTACACAATTAGCTTCAGTTAACCTTTAAAAATATATCAGTTAGGGTTGTTAACTACTTGTTATTAACCGGTACCCCCGGTTTTCGGTTAATCCAAATTTTAAAAACCCTGTTTTCGGTTTTAGTAGAATAACGGTTTAATTTTGGGGGAATTTCTTTAAAAAAACCATTCATTTTCAGGTTTTCTGTGTTAAAACCGGTCGTTAACAACACCAATTTCAGCTTAAAAGTCATCACATCTAATCAAAAATAAGAAAATTTAAAACCTTTGCTTATTGCTCTCAGCAAGTTGAACACGTTGCAAATCTGCAGCAAGTCGTTGAATATCAGCCCAACTTGTTGTGGAAGTCATTTCAATATAATTTTAACTGCCAAACTTATATTATAATTTCTAAATAATTTTAAAAAATATTCTACACATTTTTAATATTTTAAAAATAAAAATCAAATATTAAAAAGATATTTAATCAATTAAAATTATTAAGATAAACAATAATTTATTTTTAAATATTTATTAAGTGAATCGACAATTTTATTGATTTGTAATCTATCACAAGGCTTAAAAGGTCAAAAATTGCATAAAATTTTACTTAATTTAAAAAATATAATTTTTCTTTAAATTCCAAAAAAAGCAAATAAATTAGAAAACCAAACAAATATTAATCGGCACATTCAGTTGTTGAGCCCGTTATTTTTGTTGAAATTTCAGAAGTTGCTGTTCGTTGTTCTATCCGTTCCAATCTATCCATATATTCATTTGCCAAGCCATATTCCTACAAAAAATAGAATAAAAGTATCTTTTACCAAAAAATTACCCTAGCTCTTTGTTTAACCAAATTAACATCAAAACAAAGTTGAGTACGTATTTTTGACTCGTCAGATTTACTCGCAGCCTCAGCAGTTGATTGTCCAGAAGCTAAAGCTTTTCTTTGTTTAAATCTCAAAAGTGATGACCCAGTTTGTTCAACGCTATCGAGAACCTAATAAAAATAGAAATAAAATTAAAAACACCAAAAAACCTTTTCAGCTCGTTCACAAAAATCATTAGAAGCAATTATCATTGCTCGGCTTCTAATTTGATTAAGTTCAATTTCATCAAATCCTAATTTATTTACAGTTTCTTCCGCAAACTGTTCAAATATTTCAAAAGAAGAGGACAAATAAGTAGAGAATCCAACAGGTTGAGGACGTTTTGTCCAACGATATTGACGAGGAATGTCGCTAACGGCAGAAAGATTCTGTCAAAAAATGAAATTATTCAAATTATTTTGATAAATTTAACAACCTTAGCCAATTCCCCTCCAAGTATTTCCAAAAGTTTTTGTTCAATTTCCTTCCTTTTTTCAGATAATTGGCCAGAGAATAGTGAAAGACATTGGCCAAAAGGTGTTGGGTCAATTTTCAATTGCCGAAGATAATCCCAACTAAAAATTATTTAATTATTTTTATTTTAGAAATAATATAGCAAACATAGTGGAAAGACAAAATTGAAAAAGATTGGTGTCAAAAAGTTGCAAATCACGAGATAATGCAGCAAGACCAAGCCATGTTGGTATTGATAGAGTAGAAGTAATATTATTAGAAGTTATTTGATTAGAGGATTCTTAAAAGATATTTTTTGTTAGTAACTAAAAAAAGAGAAGAGTAAAAAAATGTTCGGTAATTTTTGGCATTTTTTGTCTAGAAAAATATAAGCAATTTAGGATATTGCTCTATTTTCCAACAAAAACCACATTTTTATTTGAAATTGCTGGTACCTTTAAAAGAAACAGGAGAGACAGACTTTCGTTCTGAAGATATGGTTGATTGTGCTGATTTATTAGTGTCTAGTTGTTGTTTCTTTGTTGTAAAAGTAAAATGGCTAAAAATAAAATTTTAAAAGTTGTTTAAAAAATTAATTTACAAACTCTATTATTGATTGCGCCCATCCCAAATAATCCTCCATCCGTTGAAGTGTAAATTCCCAAAATTTATTTGCCAAAGAAGGAAGAAAATAATCAGAAGAATAAAGAATATGCAATGAAGAAAGTATAGAATTTGAATAAGAACATAAACAAGGATTGGAATCTCCGTCAACAGGCAACTAAAAGAATTTGAGAAACATTTTCTGTTATATATTTTCAGTTTGACCAACAGAATCTTGCAAGGGCGCAGCCAGGAGGTCGATTTTAGGGGGGGGGGGCTAAAATGGGGTGTGCGCCAAAATTTAGGAGCCCTAATTTTTTGTGCATCTATATTTTTTCAGTAGCGCAGGCAAAGATTTTTTGATTTTAGAAAACCAAGAAGCCAAATTTCTGCATTCTCAGCATCGCAGGCACAACTTTTGGAAACTTTGCGTTTGTAGGCGTAAAAAATTCACTTTTCTGATCATTTCCCTCCTAAAATTTTTCATTTTCACCATTTCCAGGGGGAGGGGGGAGCTATAGCCTCAGAAGCCCCTCTGGCTACGCCCTTGAAATCTTGTAAACAAATTTATAACAAAAAGAAAGTGCTTAAAAAATAATTTCTTCAGTCTCCAACTCGATTTAGTTACAATTTTAAGCATAAATCTGTCAACAAAATTATGCCCAAAAATAATCAAAATAAAATAGAAAAGTACCCAGAACCAAAAAATTGTTTAAAAATTTACCTTAAATTTAAATTCTTCAGGTTTAATTTGTTCTTTAATTGAAATAACCAAAGGCTGTGAAGCTAATTTAAAGTAAATTATTAAATTAAATTTGTCTCGAATAATTCGAAGTAGTCCTATTTGAACAATCTCATTTTTTGTAGGCCAACAAGAAATAAATTTTTCAATCAAAAATTTAAAACAAGAATGGAAAAGGCGAGCATCGGTTGGAACAAGAATTGTAGAAAATTTCTAAAAAAATAAAAATAATTTAAAAAAAATATTTTTTAGACAACCTCATCCAAAATAGAAATAACTGAATTGAGAAGACAAACATCAAAAAATGTTTCAACCTCTTCAGATAAATTATTACAATTTTGAGCGTAAATAATCCAACTTTGACGTATCTAAAAATAATTTTGTTTTATTTTTTTAATTTTTAAACATTTACATTGACCACTTTATTCAAAACTTCTTGCAATAAAATATCCATTTTTATTTTTTTCTTAGAATCATTTCTCAAATATTGAATGACTAAATTAACAACACGCAGTTCTGCACGTTCCTTTTCGTGTAATAATTTTAAGGAGGCAAGTAAAGTAGCCAAATTAGATTTCTAAAAAATATTTTTTTAAGAAATATAAAGAAAACCCAAACCTTTGAGGTTATATTTTTATCTTCTTGGTTAATAATTAATTTAAGTTCTTCGCATAATTGATCAATAATTAAATCTTTGGCTTTTTGATAACATTTTTCTTTTGGAATTTTTAATTGTAAAATAAATGCTTCAAAAGATTTAAGACATTCTAACCAATATTCGATTGAAGAAATTAATAAAAATAATTTTGAAAACCTGAAAAAAATTATACAAATTTACTAAAAATTTAAAAATGGCAAAAAGGTGCAAGAGCGTAGTTAGGGGGTTCTGGAGCTAAAGCCCTCCCCCCTCCCCAGAAATTAGAAAAAAGGAAAAAATTGAGGAGAGAATTGAGCAAAAAAGTGAAATTTTTCGCCTATGAAACCCCCCCCCCCCTGAAATCTACTCCCTAGCACGCCCTTGAAGTTGTTAAATCGTGGTAATGTTTCAATGGCCTACACAGAAAAACTATTTAGTTTTCATATAAACGACAAAAATAAATTGTAAATGGGATGCAGCTTCATTTTTAGAAGTATTTGACATTTTATGAAACCGGAAGGAAAGGGAGGAGATAAAATGAATGTCAAAAATTCTCAATAAAATCTCTTACCAAATATTGCCAAATTCTTTAGGTCTATTTTCCAAGAATTTATGAAGTCTTTGAATTGATTGTAATAAAGAAAGTTTATTTTTTGCTATTATTTGTTCTTTCCTTGCTTTATTTAATTGGAATAAATAATTATTAACCAATTGAGCACATCTTTCTAAATCAGAAATTGTTGATTCAAAATTATACCAAGTACCCTTTAAAAAATTAAAAAAATATGTATATGGTACACAAAATATATGGCACTACGAGGATTACTACAGACCTGACTACGGATCTGTCAGGTAATATTGAACACTGACAGACCCCTTTTTTCCTCCCCAAATTTTTCCTTATTTATGCACAAAATGGGGAAACTTTTTCCTTTCTTCCATCCCCTTATTTATATTCTGCCTACAATCAATCAAAAGGATCATTTAAAAATGGATTTCTCAATTAAAAAATAAAACAACTTAAGGCAACTGAGATTAGAGGTCGGTAAAATCGCATTCACGTGATCCCGTAACGGGATTTTTTTCAAAAATTTTTGCGGGACAGGATCCCGCGGGATTAATCCCGTAATCCCGTTCGTCGCTTAAAATACGCACAGCGGGTTAAAGGGGACATTGTGTAGTGTCTAATTTTCTCTGCTTCTTTAACTTTCTCTCAATTAAAGCATTACTCTCGCATGCAGATTTTAGGTTGCCAACTTTGATCGAGTCCTTTGGATGTTCTAGATGTTACTTTTTAAATCTGTTTGTTATTTTTATTTTTCATAGTTTAAAGAAGCTTTTGGCAAAAAATTATTAATTTATCTGGTTTTTAGCAAAAGTTACTGGTGTTTATATTTTAATAATTTTAGTGACAGATTTTTAAGAGTTACTTTAAGAAAAAACAAAGATTTTAATGCCAACCGATGCAGCTCGACGAGGTACGTCGAATGATACCAAATTTAAGTTTGTAGGACCAATTTAGGCTGACTGAGATATAGGCCCACAAAAGTTGAAAATTTTTGGGGTTAGAGTTTTGGACATGAAAATTATAGCTCGATCGAAAGAGCTCGTCGAGCTGAGTCGAATGACACCAAAATCAGCTTGACTGAATAATTCCTAACAAAGTTATGACCTATAGATGGATGAGCCTTGCGTTTATTTGGAGAGTTTCGCGAATAAACAGGTGGTATTCGCGAATAAACAGGTTGTTTTTGCGAATAAATGGGTTTCTCTGCCTATGTCCTGTCTGTCAACAGAGTTAACCCGCTGTGAATACGGGATTTCGGGGCTGGATCCCGTAAAATCCCGTACGGGATCCTGTCCCGTGCCGACCTCTAATTGAGATAGAAGAAAAAAAATTCAGACCATTCTGTAGTCATTTAAAAAAATTTGGGAGGAAAAAATAGGGTCTATCAGGTTCAATATTACCAAATAAACATTTTAAACAATTTAAAAACAAACCTGTATATTATTTTTAACTTTATCAACAGAATCTCTCAAAGCCGCCAAACCAGAAGATAAATTAACAAAATCGGCATAATCATCATTAATTAATTCAATCATCGAATTTTGTAAATATCTCAAATAAATACGTAGATCAGAGTGTAGTTGTGCTAATGTAGCCCTCTTTCGAGAAAAATTAACAAAACGAACAGAATCAAAATCTGTTCGTTGAAAGTGTGTAAGATTAAAACAAAGTTGTTTAAGTTTTGAATCATCTTCTGTTGGTAAATTTGAAGACATTTTTTCTTTAAATTAAATTTATTAAAATCTCTAAAAAAATTAAATTTAAAAATTCTGATTAGAAAATCTATGCACAAAACGATCTGAAAATTTTAGTTTTGATTAAAATGTGTGAAAAAAAAATTTTAATGCGTAGAAATAAAAAAATAGGACACGTCCACGTAGGCGCACTGCCATAAAAACGCAAAGCCATAACTTGCTTCATAATTTCCAAATCTTAACAAATTTAGTATTAACCGATTCCTCTAACCGAGCTAAAGAGATTGGTACCAAAATTGATAAGGGCCAGAAAATTTTCAGCGAGTTATGGCTTTGCGCCTTATGGCCTCGCGCTTACTTGGGTTGTACCCTAAAAACATCCCATTTAAACGCGGGCCAGAATAGGTACGAAACAGAACTTGTCATATTTTTGTAAACATACTTCGAAGATTCAGAACCTTCGGATAATGGATCTTCTTTAGTGCATTGAAACTTTAATCAATACGTAGAATAAGAATGATCATAAAAATAAATTGCTTTGTTCTTTTCCGCGACTAATTGGCCAGCGATTAATCGTGGTAAAGGACATTTGAGTCTAAGGGGATCATTGAGCGGTAGGGGATCATTGTGTACCGCCGTTTGTGTACCGCCGTTTGTGTACGGCCGTTTGTGTACCGCCGTTTGTGTACCTGGCCGTTTGTGTACCGGCCGTTTGTGTACCGCCGGTTGTGTACCCACCCAAAGGGGGACGTTTGTGTACCCGCATTATTTTTTGGATTAGGAGGGATTAAAGAAGATATAATTTTATTTAGAATAATTAAGGGAGATAATAGAAGGATTCTGGTGTGATATTGAGTCAATCTAGAATTCAAATGAACGAGTTAAAGAACCTGAAAAGCAAAAAAGGGGGTCAAATTCAATTTTGGGTGAAAAATTTTTAATATACAAATGATAGCCCATTCGAAAGGGCTCGGTGAGTTGAGTCGGATGACATCAAAATCAGCTTGATTGAATTATTCTGAACACTGTTATGACCAAACAGAATCTTTGCTGGAAAAACTTTTTGTGCTGCTACGAAGAGTAGAGGGCACTATTTAAATTACTCTAGTAAAAACTATTACCTAATACCCGACTCCGGCAGAATTTACCCGGATACGTGTAAAAAATCAAAATGTGAAAAAAGAAAAAAAATATTTTTTAAAAATTTTATCAAAAAAAAATTTCAAAAACCATTGTCTTGTCTCGCTTCACTTATTAAATTTGTGGCCCTAAGAAGGGCCGTTTGGGTTTATTTTTGTTGTCGACGTTCTCCCAGGTTCACCACCTTCGTTGCTTCAGAAACCTACTAAAAAATTTTAGAGAATAAAAACTTAAAAAATAAAAATTCCAAACCTTTTCAAATTTCCATCGTTGCAGCCGTGGGATGAAGTCCGACACGTGATGAGCAAAGTTTAGACCAACCTGAAATATAAAATCTAAAATTAAAAAATAAAAATTAACTTTTACCTACACAAGATTCTCGTCCTCCCTCTCGTCCTCATTGAGAAAGTTTAATGCTCGGATGGACTTGTGTGGAGGATCGGTCAACTAATTGTCAAAATTAGTTGAAAACCTCAAAAGAAAAACAAAAAATTAAAAAAAAATTTTAAAAAATAATGCGGGTACACAAACGTCCCCCTTTGGGTGGGTACACAACCGGCGGTACACAAACGGCCGGTACACAAACGGCCAGGTACACAAACGGCGGTACACAAACGGCGGTACACAAACGGCCGGTACACAAACGGCCAGGTACACAAACGGCGGTACACAAACGGCGGTACACAAACGGCGGTACACAAACGGCGGTACACAAACGGCCGGTACACAAACGGCCAGGTACACAAACGGCGGTACACAAACGGCGGTACACAAACGGCGGTACACAAACGGCGGTACACAATGATCCTGTTCCGTCATTGAGTCCCTGGCCGTTTGAGTATGCGCATAGTGATTGAATTTCCTTTTTACCTTCTTTTATTTCTTAATTTAATAGATACAATTATGAATCCAGAAAATGAATTACAAAATGTTGAAGATGAACATTCAAGACAGCCAAAATATACAATATTGCTTCCAACGTAAATTTAATTTTTAAAGAGTTTTTTTTGAGAGGAAAATGAATTAAAAATTAATTTTTTGTTTTAATTTTAAATAAATTTAAGGTATAATGAAGCAGAAAATTTGCCAATATGTATTTGGTTAATTAACAAATATTTGACTGAATTAAATTATGAAGTACTTATAATTGATGATAACAGCCCTGATGGAACACAAGTATTTTTATCTATTATTTTAAATATTTTTTATATATTTTTTTAAATATTTTTGGTACTCCTAGAATTATTATTTTTTATATTTTTCTTTATTTTTTGGTTAACGTCTTTTGAATTAATAGCCATAATTTTGACCAAGGGCTTAGCCAGGGGTGGGGGCTTCTGGGGCTAAAGCCCGCCCCCTTCCCGAAATGGGATAAAGGGGGGGGGGGGGAAATTAGGAGACGGATAATCAAAAAAGTTACAAAATTTAAAAAATTTTTGCCTGCGGCGCTGAAAATGGAAACTGGCTGTTTGAGCTCCAAATTTCTTTTTCGCCTGCGATGAAATTTTTTTAGTCTACACACATTTTAGCCCCCTTGAAATTGACCCTCTGGCTACGCCCTTGACTTTGACTAAAATCTAAATGTATCTTACTTTTAGCTTTTATTTTAATTATGGTAGCTTTTAGTTCAAATTTTTATCAAAAAATTATTTTGATCCTTTTTTAGTCATTAATAATTTATTTTTCAATTTTCAAAGGACATAGCTAAAAAACTTTGTAATGAATTTGGAAATGATAAAATTATTTTATTAACTCGAGAAGGCAAGCTTGGACTTGGAAGTGCTTATGTTTTTGGATTGAAACAAGCTCGGTATTTTTTTATTTTTTAAATAAAAATCGGAAATTTAGCGGTGATTTTGTTATTTTAATGGATGCCGATTTGTCTCACCACCCTAAACATATTCCTGAAATGATTGCTTTACAAAATAAAAATAATGTTTGTATTTTAAAAATATTTGTTTCTTGGGATTTAAAAAATTTATTTTTATTTTTCGTAATTTGTGGGTATAAAGCCCCTCCCTTATTTGAGTATCATTTATTCTTTCCTTCCTCTTTGATTTTATTTGGTCAAGCAATAACATTTACATACATTTCACTTGCTTGAGAAAAATGTTTGACATGAAGAAGGATGAATAACTGATATCACAAAACCTAGGGAAGGAGCGGTATGTCTAAAAGGTAATAAAATTGGCTGAATGCTGAATTTTTGACTTTAGATAAAAAAGTACAAAGAATTCTTGGTCTTTACTTTTAGATACAAAAATCCAGATTTGTCGTTTTTTATTTCCTACTCTATAGTAAATTCATGTAGACGTTTAAAACTTCAAAATTATTTCTGATAAAAAACTCCTAAAATTAAAACCTAGATTTTTTTTAAATTAAAGTAATTTTCAATTAAGTATGACATTGTTACTGGAACACGTTATTCACTTGGAGGGGGAGTTTCTGGTTGGGATTTTAAACGCAAACTTATTAGTCGTGGCGCCAATTTTCTTGCACAAGTTTGTTAAAATTATTTATTTTTAAACTTTTAATTTTTTAGTTTCTCCTCGAGCCTGGAGTTTCCGATTTAACTGGCTCTTTTAGACTTTATCGAAAAAATGTTTTGAAAGATTTGGTGAATCTTTCAATTTCTAAAGGATATGTCTTTCAAGTTAGTTTTTAAATTTAATGTTTTTCGGGTTTAAAAATCGAATTAGGAGTAGACATTATTAAAGAAAATTGGAACTTCTATTTTGGGGGTTATTAGTAGCTTACCTACTTATTGACCCCAAAATTTTAGAAATAAGCGAAAAGGTTTAAAAGAGATCGGCCTGGGTCTGGACAAAGGCCTGGATTTTTCCTGTACCCAGAATCCACGCCCAGGCATTTTTTTACCTTCCCGGGTTTTTCCTGGGCCTGGGGTTTTTCCTGGACTACAGGCAAAGGATCTGGCCCAGTTCAATAAATCAAACCCAGGAACAGGCCCAGGCTTTTCAAAAATTCCTATCTCTAGTTTAAAATAGGGTGAAAAGGGGTTTAATATACCGTATATACTGTATTTATTACCCTCCCTTAAATAATTACCCCACCTGCTTTTATTACCCTCTCCAGAGAGAGATCGAAACAATAATTACCCTCCCTCGAATAATTACCCCCTATTTTTCCTACACTAATTTTAATATTTATTAAAAAATCATTATCAATTTCAATAATAGAATGTTTTAAGGATCAATATAAAATATAAATCAAGAGAATAACAGGATTTGGAGGGGATATTGCTAAATTTATGAGAATTAAGAGAGATTAATAGGATTTGGGTGAGATTTTGAGTGATTAGAATGGATCTAAGATTATCTAGATTACCCTTTTATTTTTTAAGCGTTTACGGATTAATATCTAAAAATAATTTCTTCTTCAATTGCATTAAAGAAATTATACTGACTCTTCCCCTTCCTATTCGGCATCGGCCTCTAATTTGTAATTTGCGATTGATTAGGTGACTTTTTATATCCGAAGACGGAATTATTGTTGGTATGGCCCCACTTTTAGAAATTATATTTAAAGAATGAAGGGTATATTCCCTAAATAGGAATCATACATAATTATATACATGCTCACTTGTCTTTATATATCCCAGGAAGGAAGCATTGGTGTCGAAAGAAATATGTTTATTTTCTTTCAATAGCATTTTGATGAGCGGGTGTCCGAGTGGTTAAGGGTTTAGGCTTCACTCAAGGCGTTAGTGATTTTAAGTTGTGTTCGCTTCCCGTAGTTGGATGGTATAACGGATGATTTGGATGGATCAATGTGGATTTTGAATTATATAATGTGACATCAATGGGCCTAATATCCTTCTTTACTTCCTTATCCCCATAAAACGTATATCGCTCCTTCTTCCACTGATATCCCTTAAACCCCCTTACAATTCTGAATCCTTATATCGTCCGATATCAAACACTTATACCACCAAATCCGTTCATACACCACTCTCTAACCCAAATATATCACTTATCGTCGACGATTTTCGGTTCGGTTTTGGTTAATCAAAAGTTCCGGTTCCGGTTCCTCTGGGCCGGAACTTTGAAAAGTTCCGGTTCCGGTTCCGGAAACCGGAACTCAAATTGGATCCGGTTCCGGTTCCGGTCAAAAATTCGGTTCCGGTGAAACACTAGTAATTAATACAGTATATACGGTAGTTGAAAACTTTTAAATTATATAACAAAAAATATTTTAAATTTTTATTAAAATTATTTTCACAGATGGAAATGATGTTTAGAGCAAAGAAAATGGGATTTTCTGTTGGTGAAGTGCCAATTGAATTTGTTGATCGTTTCTATGGAGAATCGAAACTTGGTGGTCAGGAAATTGTTGAATATCTTTTTGGACTTTTTCGATTATTTACTTTTGTTAATTAAAAAATATTTAAAATTAATTATATAGGCTAAAAACTTTAATAACAAAATTTTTGAATTTTCTTTAAAAAATTTTTTGTGGCGAGAATTTTTGATTGTCTGCTTTTCTTTATGATTTAAAAAAGCCCACAAACTCAGATTTGTCTTGCTTTATTTTAGAAATTAAATTTTTGTTTTGCCTATATTTTCTGCTTTAAAATTATTTTCTGTGATTAATAAATATAAATTATACCTACAAAAATAATTATTTAAAAAAATAAAATTATTTACTCATTAATTTTAATCGAATTTCAATTAAGTATATTTCAATAGAATACGTTATTTTTCAAAATAAATAAATATTTTCCAATTAATTTTTATAGACTAAATTTTTACTTTATGATTTACCTAGTTACTCAATTTAAGATAAATACTATTAAAAATAAAGTGTTTTTAGACCCCAGATTTTATTAAAAAATTAAAAAAGATATATTAAATTATTTAAATTAATATTTAATCTCATCATTTCAATTTACAAATTTCATTTTTTGTCCAACAATCGAGATTCGGATCTGTCCAGCTTCCACCCATTTTGACTTCAATCTTGAAATCAAGACCTTCCCTAACATATTGTTTAGTATTTCCCCCATCTAAATTAATCCACAATCCACGGATTTCCGCAATGCGATTCTTTTAAATAAAATATTTTTTATAATGTTTTTGGATCAAGGTGGGAATAATTAATATCTCTCAACCAAATTCACGTCTCTCAATGTTTACTGTATCCCCCTTTTTGAAATTTTATTTCTACATATGTTTATTGAAGAAACATTCAAAATATTCACCCATGTAGTATTTAAAAATTAAATACAAACTTTGAACGATTTCAGATCAATAGATGGCAAATCAATAACTTTTTTTGCTGCGCTTCCACCACACCTAAATCGAAATTTATTTTAAATTTACAAGTTATGCTTCTCTTAAGCATTTCCTAAGGGTGATATAATGTCCCTCAATTATATCAGATTATTCCCGACTGAGAAAGCTTTTACTAAATTCAAATAATTATTTTATAACGTCCCATATTATCCATTCCAACAGTAAATACTTACATATAATCAATGTGAAGTTTAACATTAACATAACTATCTTTAGCAATATTTTCATAAAAAATGTTGTTACATACACGATGAGTTAAAATGGCGGGGATTGTAAATGTTGCAGAATTTCCATCAACTTTATTACTAGCAGGGATATTAATTGAAAGATCCGAAACGCTAAAGGCTTCAAATTCCTTCATTTCATCACATTTAGAAAAGAAGCCGCCAGCTTCCTCTAAATGTGTGATACGTAATCCCGTGATTTTACCACCACCAGAACATGTCGCACAGCCATCCAAAAGCACCAACATTTCTTTTTTTTAAATTTTTTTATAATTTTTCCCTTTAAAAATACTTTTATGTCGATTGTCTTTTGGAACATTCTCCGGTTTCTGATCGTCAAAAAAGTTGGTCTAATTTAAATATTTTTTTAAATAAAAAATAATTCTTCCCATACCAGAGCACACAGCTTCATTTGGTCAAAATACCCATTCCCACACATTGCCATCTTTAAATATTTTTTTCATAAAATCAAGATTTCAATTCAAAACCGTAGCTATTTTCCAAAAACTCTCAGAACAGTCCATGTCCGGTATCGGCATATTAAACTTTTCAGGTAATTTACCTCTAATTACACAACCACAATAAACTCCATTTTTATAAGTTTTACAAACATATCCAGACTTTCCTTTATAATTTGCCTCTATATCCTTTCGAAATTGAAAATGACGCGGTTCATCCTTTTCATCAAATCCATATTGAATTCCTTTAATTTCATCTTTCAAACTCGGTTTGGGTTCTAATTTTTTGGGATCAGTTGGTGGTGTTATTGGCGGTGAAAGTGAATTTATCTTTATTTTAATAATTTTTATTACAAATTTGCTTTATTTATTTAATTTTATTTAATTTTATATTAAATTAAGGAAAATTCAAAAATTTAAAATAAAATTGCCATTAAATATTTTTTAATATTATTTCTTGTTTTTAAAAAATATTTACAAGCAAAACATCCATTAACATTAAAATAATTACAAAAGAAAAATAAAAATCCATTTTTTAAATTTTAAAAACTAAATTTAAAATAAAATTATTTATTAAAATTTATTTATTAAAATATTATTAATGATTTAATATTAATGTATTTATTTAATGATTTAATGTAAAATTTCCGTTTGGATGGTATTTTTTTGAAATGATGAATAATTTAAATAAATTCATTAAAGGAAAATTAAAACTCTGGTAGTAAATAATATTTAATAAATGGTGATTTTAATTTTATTTTGGAATCTAATAATATAAAAATAAATAAATTGAAAATGATGACTAAAATAAATTAAAATATTTTATATGTAATTAATTTAAATTTTCTATATATTTAAATATTTAATCCTGCAAAATATATATTTAGGGATACGTGAATTTTGTGGTCTTATCTTTTTGTTGACTTATCTTTTATCTTAGTATATTTTTATAATCAAATAGATATATGTGTTTAATTTATTGGAGTGCTAGCTAAGGCTTAGTGGACAAAGTTCATGTCGAATAATGTCTCAGAATTAGGGAGACGGATTGTAACAAAATTAGCAGTATTTTGGATGATGCGGAAATTTATCAAAATAATTTTTATAAAATCTGAGTACAATTATACTAGTTGTCGAAAAATTTTAATTTAAATTGAAAGAGATTAAATTGGGGTTACATAACGAGAAAAATGAAGCAACTACAATCAGTGCGAAATTTACCAGAAACGTTTCAAGTTTCAATCTTCATTTTTAAATTAAATTTCTTACTACATAGAAGGTAGTAGTATATACTTAACGACAACTTAATTTAAAATAAAATATTTCTAGATTTATTTAATTATTTCATACTCTTCTCCTCCTCCAAGTTCCATAGGCGCAACTGTATTAAGCGCCCGCTGCTGTTCTTTACTTGCCGGTATCATTGCATTATTTTTTGTGATTGCAGGTGTAACATTGCTTTGACCGAAAAATTTGTTCTTAACAGCTTCGCGATATGGTTTTACCAGGAAGATTGTGGAAAGTGGATTAATTACCTTTAAATTGTCATTTCGGATAGATTTATTAAATTTCATTTAGTTCTAAACAAACCGGGGCAAAATATAGCGGTATAACTGTATAAACAATAATAAATACAGTGGTGTCATTTGGGTAGAAAATTGGAAGTAGAATTTGTGTGCTCATAGCGATCACTTCGAATGTAGGGAGAATTGCCTTGGGAGGGCACGATTAAACTAGAATTGTTTTGTAGTCTTACCTGAACAATAAGAGCAGAAGTTATCTGGTTATTGTAATCACGTAAACGTTCCATTCTCAACTTTTCCAGTGCATTGTCCTTTTGACCTATATCTACATTAAGGGTAAATGTCTCACGCACATAAGCACGGATTTTGAATACACAGATCTTTTAAAGGGAAAGTGTGGTAAAAAAATTAGTTATGTAGGTATGTTAGTACCGTGATTACTGAATAGCAACAAGAGAAAAGGAAGATCATGACAATACAGTGCATCAACCATGGAAATGAACGCTAGGTTTATGAAGATATTTTATTCAAAAAATTTTTTAAACATACAGCCCAGGTAAACGAGGAGAATTTAATGTCTGTAATGCCTGCTTCTTGAGTGACGAGTTTTGTTAATTCTTCCATTTTTTCATAATAGTTAGGGCGTGGATAATCAGCCCAAACGAGCAAGATAATGTGAAATAAGTTTAGAAGGACAGCCAGGACGCCCAAAATCCAGACCAAACTTCGAGGAATTTGTCCATTTCTAAATAAATTTTGAATAACTAAATAGCTAGAAGAATAACTTGGTTAGAAGAAAGTAGCGAAAAATGAACTGCGCTGTTGTAGAAGCTAAGAAGAATAGAAGAAGTTGAATCCAGAGAACATTCAACTTAAATTTAAACAAAACAAATAAATTTCTGTGAATGCCCTCTTATTTACCATATATGCATAGGGTTGTGGCAAGTCGGAAACTCCATTTTGGAATAGAGCACGATATCCATGATCAACTATCTATTGTAGATGAATTAACACCAAAAATTTTTAAAAATTTTTACCGGAATCGGTTGAACGAGTGTAGAAACAATAACTATTAGAATATCCTGAAGATTGTAAAGTAAAAAATATTTCTAAAGAAACTAGCCATAAGACATGAGTGGAGAAGCAGACGCGAGTACACGCGCATAGCCCTCACTGTTTTAGTCAAGATTAGCCAAGCAAGAAGCAAGTTTAAAGGTATGCCGAGACTAAAACTAATTCCTGCATTTATGGAGTATATTGTGCGCACAGTGTCTGTTAAATTTAATTTAACTTAAGAAGATGATATTTAAAGATGACATACCAAATCTGACACTATTATTTGATTTTGTATCGATAAAACTAGGCATATTATGTTAATAGTTTTATAATAAAAAAATAATGTTTGAAAATTCTGAGACATGAGAGAATTACATATTTCAAAAAATTTGCCAAGTACACATGTAAAGCTAAATTAACAAATAATTGTAGGAATGGGAAAAACGTAATTAATTAGGTAAATTGTTTATAAAGTCACGGAATTGTTTATATAAATATTTTAATTAAATAAAATGTTTCAAAAGTATAAACAATGGCATGACATAAGAAGAGAAAGACGGAAAATTTGATATCAGAACTAGGAGTTTTTAATTTGGGAAAGTTTTGGGGAAAATTAAAAAAGTCTCTTCCAATTCTTCAAAAAAGTCATCCGTAGAGGTGTATATTTAGCCTCGGTGATATTTAGCCTCGGAATACGTGGATTTTTGGCTTTTAGCTTTTAAAATTAATAAGGGAAATCTTATAAATTCCCCAATGAAATCTTAATATTTAGGTATTTTATAATTTCTTCGGTTCGAAATAAACAAATTCTAAGCTCAGATTCGGATTCAGCACGCTCGATTACCTACTAATATCTTGAAGCTTTTTTCCGAAAAAACACTTGTTAACTTTTTTATAGGGACCAGTGAAATAGAAGATTACCCATTATTTTGTAGTTTATCTTTAACTACGAATCCTAGCCTTATTGATATCATTAAAAAATTGTAAAACAAAAATGTAAGATAAAATGTTTAAAAATCTATTTATTTTTTTATAAAAAATACATACATTATAAACAACATTATCTACTAATTTAAAATGTTCTTAATTACATAATTGTACAACAACCAAACTTCCGTTTAATTTCAACATTAGACCTCAAATTCTTATTGTAAATATTAGTTATTTGATATTTAACTTCATGACTATTTTCTTCCCTTACAATATTTTCCGCCCTAACCCCTACATTAACTTGAGAACAATCACGGAACTTGAATAAGTAGTTGGTTACCATATTTGAATTGTTTTGGGATGTTTCGATAAGCTAAATTTTAAAATTATTTTTAAGATAAAGAATTTTATGTTGATTGGGGAAACATGAATTGGCTATTTTTGGGGTTAATAATACGAAACTGGAAATGACAGTTTTTTGAAACTTTCCGAGTTGAGTGGAATATGTAACTCCGAACGAAAAAATTTTGAATAAATCCTAGAGACGTGCGAGACCGAAAATTTTCCAAGATTCAAGACCAAGACTAGACCCCGCAAAATTTCAGAGAGGCTTGGATGGGCCGCACAAGACCGAAAAAAACCCCAAAAAAGTCTTGGAATCAAGACCAAGAGTTTCGCACGTCTCTAACAAATCCCCCATTTACCTTTATAACTAAATTATACAAATACGGATCACTCAGATCCATACGAACTCTATGAATTACACTTCCTCCATTTAATACCAGCTCCGAAACAATATCATTATATTTATCTGTATCACCTCCAAAAGACAATGAAAGGTCTCCATTAATAATTAAATGCTCCAAATTAAATTTTAAAACTTTTTCTTTGTTTATTTTGCCATATTCTAAGGAAACTTTTTTGGTATAAAATTTGGGAGAAATATTTTGTTGATCCTCAAAGAGTAAACGAATAATTTCAGGATTGAAAATAAAGATAAAAAATGAAGCTTCCTTATAAGCACAACGAAAGAGTTGATCAAAACAAAAACGAATAAGTTTCATATCGTTAATTGTTTTGGGATAAGTAGGCAATTCCACTATTAGAGCATGCTTGTTATCGTCTAAAAAATAACTACCTTATTTTCTCGATTAATTCCCCACTCTCAATTAATTCCCCATGCCAGAGAACTACAACACCTATGGTTTATATGGTTTAGAGACCGGCAAAATCGTGTTTGCGGGATCCGCATGCGGGATTTTTTTAAAAATCTTTGCGGGACGGGATCCCGCGGGATAAATCCCGCATCCCGCAATTTAAATTTGCGGGATCCCGCGCGGGATTTTCCAAAAAAACGTTGAAATTATCAATATCTATTGAAAAGGGGAATTAATCGAGAAAATACGATAGGTAGTTTAAAATTTTAAAATTAAAAAGTGACCGACCATCTCCTATCACAATAAATGTTCGCTCGCCAAGTGGCAATTTTTTGTCCATATTTAAACTAGTAGAAATTTTATTGTTTATAGCAGATTTCCACTGAAAAGAAAATTGTTTGGAGACGATTAAAAATATTCATTTGGGTACAGCTGGGTTCATTTGGGTCATTTGGGTACATAAAGCGCAAAGCCTTAACTTGTTTAAAGATTTCCTAATCTTACCAAATTTAGTATTAAACGATTCCTCTAATCGAGCTAAAAAGATAGATACCAAAAATGATAAAGGCCAGAAATTTTCAAGCAAGTTATGGCTTTGCGCCGTTATGGCCGCGTGCCTACTTGGACGTGTCCTATTTAATTACCTTCTCCTCAAGTTGGCTAGTTAACGAATAATCACAATTTACAGACTTGAGGTTAATCATTCTTTTATCCGGTTCTGGCGGGTCATAAACATTGATGTCAGAAGATAACTGAAAGAATAAAAAATTTATTTGATTTAAAAATATTTCCAGATTACTACAGAAAATCCTTCAAATTCCTTTCTTGGCAATATTTTCTCGTATCTACTAATAAATCCTTTGAAATAATTATTGGTTTGTTTTAACGAGAATAATTGGTCGGAATTGAGGCATTTTAAAGTGTCGAATAATGCTCCACAAGGTAAAGAATACATAATTTCTAAATTATTTTTAATACCTATAACGTAAAGATTTAGTAGTTTACGAGGTGAAATAAGAAAAGATAAAATAAAAAAGGAAAAAAAGAATTAAATAAAATTCAGTGACAGTAAACTGATCAGAATAATGTCTAACGTTTATATAGTACATCTTCAGAACAAGACAATTGAATATTGATAGTTGAATCTCGAAGTTCTAGTCAGTAAATAAATCTTGATATTAGTAAAACAGCTGGTCTATAGCGATTTCCCTTCTTTAGCTAGTGCAAAAGGTTAATCGGCGGCTGGTAGCGAACCAGAATCTTCAGTAGACCGGACTGATGTGTTTGTTCTCCATTACACCACACCGCAAGCCTTAGGAATTAAATAACTATATGCTTTACTTATTTAATCTATCTAAATTATTAATTTTCTCATTTTCAATTAATCAATCATAATACTCTCATATTCTGTTTTATTTTCACATTCTTTAATGAAGTCAGACAAGCCAGACCTGCCCATGGATATGGATATGGATACTGATAATATCAAAATGCCTGCGGATATCCGCCTGTATCCGCCGTAAATATGCGGATAGGATCCGTGACCAGATCCGAGACAAACTATAAAACCAATTTATAAATCCTTAAAGTCTCCAGAATTTAAAATAATTATAAAAATAAATCCAAAAATAAAAAATCCAATCTATTCAATGTACTTTAAACGGTCATTCGCCGATTATATGTGAACAGCTTTTTTTATTTAGAATTTGTGGACAGCACTACTAAAATAATATTTAATTTTACCAATATATTTGCTGTAGTTATTTACTGGCTACTTTAAATATATCTGCGCAGATGATTAAATTAAAGAAAAAAATAAATGAGAGAAAATTTATTTAAAGAGAAATCATAATAAATTTAGGTATATTTATTTATTTAAAATATTTTTCCTTTTAATAAAAATATGAATAATATTAAAATTAAAAATTTATTTAATTCTCATTTATTTATTATTTTATTTATTATTTTGTTAATTAATAATGATTTTTATTATATTCCTCGACATAATAATAATGTACATATTTTTAAAATTATTATTAGAAATAATGTTATTTGAAAGCTTATAAATATTTTTAACAATTATGAACGGCCCTGGGAAGTTTTAGATTTGCTTGTACTACTAGACATAGCCTAATCTTATTTTTTGCTTTACTTGTATCACCTCAATTTTCGCCCTGTACTTCGTACCAAATACGGAATACTAGTAGTACGAATTTAGGTAGGAACGTCCAAGGCTGTCAGAAAGTGAAAAATGAAAAAATATTTTCCGCAGCCGCAATCCGTAGTCCGAAAAACCTCGCAATTTACGCAATCCGCAATTGCGGACACCCTGGTCCAAAGCCTGTTTCCGAATTTCCAAAAACTAATTATTGGCATCTAAATTAAAATTTAAAATTAAAATATGATAGAAAAATAACTTTTTACTGTTTATGTCCAAAATTTACTTGAGAAAATCTCTAAACTTAAATTTATAAATAAAATTTTCTTTTAAAATAAAAACAAAAAATATCTAAAAAATTTTAAAAAATATTTTTTATAGAATTGCTCAATTCTGCCTTCATCATCAATTTATTGTTTAATTATTTTTAAATCAAATATTTGTCTTTTAATTAATAAAAAAAATAAATTAAAGAAAGAAAATAAAATAAATTTAATATTTAATTTAAAAAGAAGTAAAACAACATTTCTTGCAGAAGCTATTCAATTTAAAAATTTTAGATGGGAAAATAATGAGGAAAATAAAAAAAAATTAATTAGTATATCTGAAGAAAATGAAGAAAAATTTTTTAAAAATGGGAAAAAATATTTTGATGAAAAAATAAATGAATCTAATGAATTGGTGGATAATCAAAGAAGTTCTAATGAATTTAAAATAAGAGAAGAAAAAAGCTTAAAAGTAAAAAGAAATTAATTTTAATTATTTTTCCTCAAAAATTATTTTTTTTTTCTAGTCTTTGAATCAAAACGAAATAAAAAAACAAAATTTATTTTCTACAAAATCTTTTTCAAAAGAAAATAAAAGAAAAACAACAAAGCAACTTTCTAATTTAATAATTACTACAACAATAAAAACACCTTTAAATAGAGAGAGGAAGGAAAGGTCTGAAGAAGATGATGAAAATGAGGAAGAAGAAAAAGTAATTATTATTTAAAATAATATCTAAAAAATTGGCAGTAGTTAAAGCTAAAAAATATATTTCAAAATTTTCAATAATATGAAAATCTAACGAGGAACGAGTTCGTGTATAAGAAGGTATCAGTTATTCGAAGTTAACTCTGAATACCACTTGTCTACTTTTCTCGAGTACCTGTATGTTAACTCAATTCTTTTAGTACCATTCAAATCAGCATCAAGTGCTTTGGCGAATTAAATATTATGGAGAAAATTTCGAGAACTTTCTGTAGCTAAAAATTTTTTATCATTGATAGGACGGGGAAAGAGTTGAACTTCATAGTTTTTAAATTACATATAATACATATTTTATAAAAAATATATATCATTTTTAATAAGATCTTCATCAATATTAATCAAAATACTCATAATAAAACATCTCTAAGCTCTCATCGTCCACATAATAAAATTAATGGACATCAAACTAAAACTTCAATAAAACATGGAAATATTGGGGGAATTGGTGGATTTAGAAAAACAACAAATTGGAATGAATTAAATTCTTTAGAACAGCCAATAGCGTAAATAAATATTTTTTAAATAATTTAATTAATTATTTAAAAATAAAGAATGATGTTACGTTGTCAAGATTTGGATACACGAGAATTAATTCCTTCAGCTACTGCTTGCCATAATTTACGTAGCGATAAGTTACTGTGAATGTTTTTTGTTTTATTTTATGAAATTTAATATTAAAAACAATGTTTTTTGACAAAGGAAATTATTTTTTTCCTTAAAATTTTAGGTTTGTAATTATTTATTTCACGAAGTTGATAAAAGAAACGGGCGTCGTGATGTAAAATGCAATTTACAAGGTTTAGAGGATATAGCAGAATCTTGTAGAAAAACTTGTGGAATTTGTTGTGAAGATATTAATTATGCTTGTGAAGACGATAAAAGTATTTAGGAAATTAAATTTAAAATAATTTTTGAGTAGATGGAATAATTGATTGTTCGAGACAAATGGAAAAATGCCATCAGAAAAAATGGTTTGGAGTTTTATCACGTTTTTGTGCCGGATCGTGTGGACTTTGTGCAATGACTTCCTGCAGAGATTATGGTAATTAAATTATTAAAATATTTTGAATGGAACCAACAAACTGTTCAGACTGTTACCTATAGCTAGATAAAAATAAAAAGACGGAAGTTTCATTTATGAACTAATAGTTACCATATAACTTGTATTAATTGCACTCACTCAAATAATTACCCCACTTCCATTAATTGCCTCGGCCATGAAAGATTGAAACAACAATTACCCCCAAACAAATACCCTAAAACACGTTCAAATCTCAAACCTCGTATAATTACCCTCCCTCGATTAATTACGCCCTCCAGCGAAAGTCCAAACAATAATTACCCAGGGTAGTTATTAAAGGATATAATAATATTTGAACTTTTTGTATTATTATACAAATAAGTAAATAAGCAAAAATATCAAAATTATTGTTAGAATAATGGAAATAACCAGAATTTGAGATTGAGCTTAACTTAAATGCCAAGATAAAAGCAATTTATAGACTTCCTTTTTTGTTACTAATTTTCAAGAATTTCTGGTTCATTGTAGAGGCTAGGATTTTAAGATTAATCCAAGATATTTCGTATCAAATGGAGAATGTTTTTCTTGAGAAAAAATTTATTTTTCCTTTCAAAACTTGAAGTATTTAGATAATTCTTGCCGTGTAAGAAAATCCTTATGCTTAAAAACTGATTCCGTTGATTATATGCGCGAAAATTGTGCGAGAACTTGTGGTTTTTGTGTTGTTGGGGAAGAAACTGAAATAAATAATGGAAATGAAAGATTGCCAGAAAATAATGGAAAACCTGTAGTTGTTGAACGTTTGTTGTTTTGTTTAGAGATTTTTGAAAAAACATTTTAAAGGTCCTCTATCACAACATCGTTTAACAGTTCCCGATTGTTCAGACAAAGTTGGGAATTGCACAACAAATGCTCACCTTTGTGGAAGTCCCGTTTATGGAGAATATATGGTAATTAGTGATTCTGTTGTAATTTAGACCCTTAGAATTTTTATTATTTTCTACTCCAAAAATAATTTTGAAATAATTTTTTTGTTTTTTAAAGATAAAATTTTGTACAAAAACTTGCTTAAAATGTGATAAAGCAAAAGTTAATAAGAAGGAAAAAACAAAAATAATAAATGAAATGTCTCCACAAAATCCTCTTCAAGTTGTAATTCAGCCATTAGTGGAAAGTCAAGAAAAGGATAGAAAAAGAATTGAAAGGGAATGTGAAGATAAAAATGAAAAGTGAATTTTTAAGAATTAATTTAATAATTATTTTCACTTTAAAAGATGCCAACAATGGAAAAAAGCTGGTTTATGCAATAAAATTGGACCTCCAAAAGAAGTAGATTCTCTTAATTATTATTTAGACGATTCTCCACAACAATATAATAAAATTTGTCCAAAATCTTGTGGAACTTGTTTTTGATAAAAATTTTATTTATTTAAATTTTTTTAATGTTTAGAATGTTTTATTTAAATTTATTGATTTCTGTTTTTAAAAAAATTGATTTTTCAATCGTGGCAATGCCAAAATCCTTATCACCCCCCCCCCCCCCCCCCCATACTGTTAGTCGTTGAATTGGCATGTGGATAACAAAGAAATTTAAGAAGCGAGAAGGAAGGGATGGGAAGAGAGGAGGGGAGGAGGGGAGATGTCATATGAAAAAAATTTTTAGAGGGAGAAAATTCTCTCCCCCTCGCAATAAATGCTATTCATTTTATTACTTTTTAAAATTTTTTTTATAAAAAAATATATA